ACGCATAGAGAGAGAGAAATAAACAAGTCAACATCACTAATTGAGTAATCGGTTAATGGCTAGTCGACCATCTTGACCCATCCCTTACTGTTTACCATTAGTGTGTACTCAATGTCTCAATCAACTCTGAAGGACATGGGCGTTTAAGGTTGTAGTGGTCTCCTGAAGGCCTTGCTGCCATGGCTTTTATGGTGGTTGGGTGGTTTAAATCTTACTGGGGTGTAATTGAAGTTTAGCTCTCCTGCTCTCCCACTAAACGCACCCTGAACAGGATAATTAATTTTTAATGGGCTTTTTTTCTCCCAGGCTCCAGGGCTGTTTTGAACATTTTTACAGGCTCTTCTCCTCCATCCTCATAAAGGATCCCCCGTTTTCCTCTCCCGACGCGCAGGCCGAGGCGTTAACTCGGGGTGTGTGTGTGTTTGCGCTTGACCTCTGAGTGTGTGCTAGAGCTCGTTTGTATGCTTGTGTGTGTCTTTCACTAATGAGAAGCACATGTGTGGGCTAGTCGTGGTGCAGAGCAGCTTGGCTTGAAGTTATTAATGGCAGTAAAATTTATGCTTCCTCCTTTTTTTTCCCCAATTAAATGGAGAAGCCCTTCTCTTTTCAGGGGTCTCTGGGAGCACATCTGGCTCCAATAGGCAGAGATAACCTTGCCTAAAGGGTCCGTGGCTGGCTCCGACCCATCCCCGCCCCCTCTTCCCTCTCTCGGGGTCTGGGTCTGTCTGTCTGATTAAGTCAGGGCTCAAGTTCTTACCAGGTCCAGGTTTCGGTCTGCTTTGTGAAGGGTAACTGCTTTCTCAGGGTCAGAATTACTCAGGCCTGAAATAAATACCAGATTAAAAAAAAAAAATACAAAGATTAACAAAATAATTCTTGCAGATTTGTTTTCTCTATATTAACACTACTGTTAAAAATGTTGAGGTTGATAAGATTGTTTTTTGAAAAGATTGTCTCTAATGCTCATCAAGATTGCAGTTATTTGATTAAAAATAAAGTAAAAACATTCATAAATCATTCTAATATGCTGATTTGATGCTCAAGAAACATTTTTGTTATTATCTTGTTTTGTTCAAAACAATTGTGCTGCTTAATATTTTTGTGGAAACGGTGGTACAGTTTTTCAGAATTCTTTGATAAATTTTTTGATGAACAGAAATTTTGTATCTGTATAAGTATTTAATGTAATTTTTGTTCAATTTAATTAATCCTTTCTGAACAACAGTATTAATTTCTTTCCAACAAAAAAGTCTTACTGACCCCAAACTTTTGAATGGTTGCATAGGTCAACAGTAATGGCCAAAAAAGTGTCTCATTCCACTCACTAGTTCCCTATGATGTGAATCCTGAACACGAATTCTGGCACAAGCAAAGGGCCTTGATCCACTAAATATTGGGACACTCGTGACTCGAATCAGAATTGAATGCTTAAAATCTGGTGTTGTCCTGTTTATCCTGCCGTGTGTTTCTACTGAAGAAGAAGGTGTAGTTCAGGCTACCTTGAATATGCAGAGAGTGTGTCTGTCCATTCATGGCTTGTGTGTGTTTGTGTTTCAGGAGACGAAGCGCAGAGACAGATCGCCATGTGCATTCTGTACCACATCAGCATGGATGACCGTTTCAAGTCTATGTTTGCCTACACGGACTGCATTCCACAGGTGAGAGGTCAGCCTGCATTAGCATGATCTTATAGCATGGGACAGGAGAGCTCTATATCCTCTCTCACACCATGTCTAAACCGGGTGCGACCGTTGTCCCATTGCACCATGCCGCAACAGCTTGAGGTTATGTTTAACACATCAAATTGAAATCCAAGTCCATTTCTATTGTTTTCGGAAGTAGCGCAAGCATGCGGAGTACGTCAGAATTAGAACGGCATCAGTTTATAGTCAGTGTCTTGTGTCATGAGCGTTGTTCATATCCGGTGTAGACACTGTCTCAGGTAACTCACTCACTGGCCCTCTCCAGATTTCTTTAATACTGTACATGTGTCTATTGTGAGATTTGCACCATAGAATTTCACCACCTGAGGCCAGCTGCATAAACCTTGCCTCTGTGTTAAGACTGTGTCTTAAGAACTAGTCTGACCAACAAGCAGTTAGCCAAGGGGTAATTAGTCTTATTTTTCAGATTCACATTAGAAAAGCTTAATTATTGAAGGAAATGTTTGTTTGACAGTTTTTTCGATAAGACCAAAAACATGCATCATGACAGTAATAAAAATGATTTTCATTAAAATGATTGTTAATGAGAATTTACAGTTTTTGTGTTTTGTTGTTTTTGTCAAATCAAACATTAAACTACTAAACTAATAATTCTATGTTATTTTAACAATTTAAAATGGGCTAAAATTAATTAATATGGCATGATAAAAAATGCAAACATTTAAAGGACATTTTCATAAAAAAATGAGTAAAACCAAAATATTGATTGAAAAATACAGTACAGGTTCAAATGGTCATGAAAAACCTGAGAAAGTAATAGAAATTTCTTCATTAAACTAAGGTCTATCAGCTTATTTTCAGCTCTATAATATGCTAGAATTGGCTCTTTGTAAGTGCAATCTTTAGATTATATTTTTAAAATCTCTATCAATTGTTTACAAATAACAGGAAAAGTCATGATAATTCATCAGTCGAAAGGTGTGACAACCCTGTGCAGTCTTGTTGTCACTGTGACTGCAGGCTGGGGGTTACCAAGGTTTTGGTGGGGCGACTCGGTGTTGCATGTGAAAGCAGGGCAGGTGCCAGTAAGTCTAGCCACAGTGATTTAGGCTGCAGGGTGGCTGCTATGTGATACTCAGAATGGGACTGTATGCTTTGCATACTCACCACTGCCTCCTCACTCTCTCTCCGGGCCTCCTGCTTATCGTTAACGTCAGGGGGCAATGTTGACAACCCTTGACCACTTCAGCCCAGGCCTGGACCTCTGCACAGTCCCCTTCTCCCACACGCTCCCTTCCTGAAGCCCTACCGTCCCCTCAGGTAGCAGAGTCCGGTCCTCTGTTCCGCTCGGGGTGTAGTGACGTTAGCCAAGCTAATGGAGAGTGACATGTAAGGTTTGTGTCTAAAGTTCGGATTCGCTTGAGAAAATCAGGAACCCCTGGACGTCTGGGAAACTTACAAATTTGGTACGAGAGTTTGGAAAAAATGTTTCAGGTCTGTCAGCTTTTTTGTAGGACAAAGGCGGGTTTGATTAAAGTTCTAGGCGGGTCAGGACTTCAAGTCACTTGCTGACTTTCTTGAGTTCGATCTTTCAGGAAAGAAGGGCACACTTGAACTTGGAAGCTTTTGGGTATGAGGTAACTGGACTGAAACTGAACATATATATACACACTAGCTAACTTTGAGGTCAGTAAGTAATTTTTTTAAGAAATTAATACTTTTATTCAGAAAGGATGCATTAAATTGATCAGTAAAGTGACAGTAAATACATTTATAATGTTACAAAATATTTCTATTTCAAATAAATGCTGTTCTTTTCTACTTCATCAAAGAATCCTCAAAATGTATCACAACTTCCACAAAACTTTTAAGCGGCACAGCTGTTTTCAACATTGATCATAATAAGAAATGTTTCTTTAGCACAGAATCAGCATATTAGAATGATTTCTGAAGGATCATCGATCATGTGACACTGAAAACTGGAGTAATGGCTGCTGACAGCTACACTCTATGGCAAGTGCTTTGATTGTTTCTGTTAATTCATGGTGTTTTGTTTGTCAGGTAATGAAGATGTTGTTTGATTGTGGTGAGGAGAGGATTGACGCTGAGCTCATTTCCTTCTGCATCAACCTGGCTGCCAACAAGAGGAATGCCCAGATCATGTGTGAAGGTGAGAATAGATACAAATGTGCAACCAAAAAACAGTGAAGTGCAGACTCGGTGCTTAATTTAATGGGGTTTTTTTCAAGGCAATGGCCTGAAGATGCTAATGAAGAGAGCACTGAAGCTAAAAGATCCTCTGATGATGAAGATGATCCGAAATATATCTCAGCATGATGGACCTTCTAAAAATCTTTTCATTGTGAGAGTCAAAAACGAGAATACACTCACCCATACAAATGAAGTGTATTGTAGAGATGTTCATTGATGTTTACTCCATTGAAAACTAATAAGCATGTGATGTGTTTGAGGACTATGTTGGAGACCTAGCGGCTCAGATCGGACTAAAGGAAGAGGAAGAGTTTGTCATTGAGTGCTTGGGAACTCTTTCCAATCTTACCATTCCTGATCTTGACTGGGAACTTGTGCTGAAGGAGTACAACCTGGTGCCTTATCTCAAAGACCACCTCAAACCAGGTCTGTCTCAATCCACTTTACTATTTTACATCACAATGGAAAATACATGAGAATATTAGTTGCAAGGTCTTGTGATATATGACTTCCACTTATTTTTCTTATGTAGGCTCTGCAGAAGATGACCTCATTCTGGAGGTGGTGATCATGATTGGCACTGTCTCCATGGATGATTCCTGTGCCGTAATGTTGGCCAAATCGGGCATCATTCCTGCTCTAATAGAGCTGCTGAACGGTAGGAAACATTCAGATGCTCAGAGTGCTTTTAAAGTTCATGTTCTGAAGTTGACATATGTTATTGGAAGTAGAGAAATAATAGTCTCTCTCTTCTTTCTATCCTCAGCCCAGCAAGAAGATGATGAGTTTGTCTGTCAGATTGTGTACGTTTTTTACCAAATGGTGTTTCACCAGGCCACCCGAGATGTCATCATAAAAGAAACGCGTATCCTTCATCTTGTAAAACCTGCAGTTGCATGATGATGTTGTTGTTTGGTCATACAGCGGTTTCTATCTTAGAGTTTTTGTCCTTGACTGTTATCTTGTCAGAGGCTCCAGCATATCTCATTGACCTGATGCACGACAAAAATGCAGAAATACGCAAAGTGTGTGACAATACATTGGACATCATTGCTGTGAGTATGAATCAGCTGTACCTCAAGTAGTGTGCTGTCTTTCACCAATTTCAAGTTGTTTCAGTGGGTAAAGGGGCCTGGTAATGATCAAACAAATTATTATAGCCATTATGTGCATGCAACCCTTTTTACACTCAATTCATGTTGAGGAACCAGTGTTTTTGCTTAATATTCTGAACAAGGCTTTATTTTTAAATTTTTTAGAATTCATTTTAATTTTAGTTTAACTTTTAGTAATTCTGTCATGTGCTTTTGTCATCTTATAATTTTTTATACTTCTATTTAGCTTTTCTATTTATTTAGTTTGAATTATTTTAGAACTTCAACTAAAACTTATTATATTTCAGTTAATTGCCAAGGCGACATTATAATTTTCGTTTAAGATTTTCATGTAACAATTATATTTTATTTCAGCTTTATATCAATTAATGGAAATCTGTTTTAATCGTTTTAGTCTTAGTTAACAATAACACTGTGAAGAACCGGTCCAAACTTTTTCGGCACATCTTCTCCCTCTTTTGTTTTGAGTCAAGAGGGAGACCATCCAGTTGTCTTAACCAGCACTTCATTGTTAACGATAAATATGGCACATATGGTTTGTAGCATAGGCGTAATTTACGGGTGGGATGGGTGGGACATGTCCTCCACCAGGGTCGATATTGTCTCCATCACTTTTTTGAAACACCTCGACATACCTAATGCAGATGAAACATATCCAGCTGACATTCGTTTCTGTTAAATAAGATGCAATCTGGCGCTGGAATCTGTTGTTTTTGAAATCATGCTGACTGTTCGTTGTGAAGTTATTAGTGACGGAACGTTCTATTTTGGCTCGTGCAAAATCGTCGTCACACACATTGCACATGACATTGCGGAAACTATGTATTCATTCCAGTTAAATCACAAAATAAAATGCACACAAATGTGTCCCTGCTCTTGATATACGATCACTGATGAGCATCTTTGATTTTAATAAGGGGAAAAAAATTATGCAAGGACGGATTAGAACCCAAAACCTCCAACACGCCTAACAAAAATTCTGCCACTAGATTGTTTAAGAATATGAATACTTATTGCGTATCTATATATTTATACACTAACGTGAAGAATCTCGGGCCTAATAATACATTTTATTATAGTACATGTAAAAATGAAACTATCACTTTAAAAATAAGTTCTATGTCGATACACTAACCGCCCCCCCTTCCCACACACACACACACACACACACACACACACACGCTCACCACTGGTTTATAGTCAGAGTCATTTGACATAAAAGACTGTAGGATGAACACCGTTGTTAGTGGGTTAAATGTAAAAGCTGTTCTGAAGCAGCTCTGTCACATGTGATCTGTCCCAGGCCTCAGATTAATGTAATTAGGGCTGGTCTTGAGGCCAAGGGAAGTGTTCCATACATCTGATCGGAAAGGGCCATTAAAGCAGGGAGCCACATCAAAGAGAGAGGAGGAGATGCCTGCTTAGTGTCACGTGGGGATGGTGGACAGAGCGCAGATCCGCTGAATACCACACATTCACATACACGTTGTTGATAATCTTCCCCTTTTTCTTCTTCTATGTTATACAAATATGAAAATGTGAAATCTGATGACTATTGTTGATCTTTTTTTAACCTTTTTTTTTCTACTTTTATCTTGACATACCCAATCCTTTTGCCTTTGTGGAAGTGGTTTTTAACCCAGACAGGAGAAGTCATTCATAATTCTTTTTTGCATGTTATTTCTGGATACGCTTGAAGATTTTCCCCCCAGATTTATTTATAAAACACCCAAACCTACTCCGGATCTAAATGTTCAGTAACGTCATGAGCTCAGCTACTTGAAGATTGATTAGCCGGGGTATCAGACCACATTCATTACTGTGATTGGCCACGGGAGTGCAGCATGTGGTGCCTTTAATGCTTTACAATGATGAATTTGTGCCCTGGCAGAAAGTGTCACTGTGCATGCCGGTGGGGCCAAACTGGTGACAATGAGGCCTGTTTGAGGCCTGGGCCTCAGGTGGCCATCAGAGCCCCAGGCCTTCCACCCTGTGTGGGGGATGATTAATCAGAGAGCCGGTTTGTCTAGCTAGTTCCACTAACCTCAAAGAGGTTTTATTACGCTCAGTCCCTGTAGAGTTAAAATAAACAGCTGCCATGTTATCCGTCTGCCAAGCGACACAGCACACCTGATTCATCCCACATCTTCGGTATGGCAATACAGGCAGAGCCTTTCTGTGTCCTGTGCTAATACTCTGGCCGTTCTCTCTGTCTGTGTCTGTAGGAATATGATGTGGAATGGGGTAAGAAGATCCAGAGTGAAAAGTTTCGCTGGCATAACTCTCAGTGGCTGGAGATGGTGGAGAACCGACAGATGGATGAGGCAGAGCCTTTCATGTATGGAGACGATGGAGAACCTTTTCTCCAAAATGGTGACATCCTGGAACGGCCAGACCTCTTCTACAGCTCAGGTTATATTGGGCGGGGATTTTAAAAAATATAGCTGCATTTAAATAGAAGTTCTTATGAATAGGGTGTTTAAATTTCTTTTGTTTTGATACGTGTCATTATACTTTGGGTTAGTTTTTTTTTTTATATATATCTTTCTGAGCAATCAGACATGATTTTATTTGGGAGGGTAACACAAGCCCTCCTCCCCATATTGGCCCCATATATAAGATATTTCGTCTGGTATTTCTGCTGTAATTATGACAATGCTGCTTGTTTTCAAACCTATTTATGAACAGAAAGTGTTGATATATTTAATAATTAATTAAATGTTTCCTTTTGTGATTCTATTAGATTCAAGATTTTAAATGTGTATTTTTCAATAAAAATAATATTTACTGGGGTAAAAAGACATGATTTCAGTTTACATTTTGATTTTTGTTTTTATCATTTTAATTTGGTTTTGATTCATTTTATTTAATTAAGTTAAATATCAACACCCTACTATTGTGGTTGGCTGGTTCTACTAAAAATGATAAAAATCTATAATATATATCAATAAAATATAAACTATACTGTAATCTGTAATTTGGTTAAAAATCCAGATTATAAACAAACATTACTTTTAAATTATTTTAATAATTATTTTTAATAATTAATTTATAATTCTAATTTTAGATATCTAAAACAAAAAAACAATTCTAATTTTAATTAGAATTTTAATAATAAATGCAAAATATTATGAGAAATTTGATGTATCTCTGTATTTTCTGTCATGCCTTAGCACAGAGGTGCTACTGATAATTGGTTTCTCTGTGATTCCTGCAGATGGAATAATCCCAGTAGATGGTGCCATTAGTCCAGAGTTCTTCACAGACTTCCAGAATGGAGACCTGTTAGGACCACATGGTTTCCCCAGCAGGTACATTTAAATATGATGAATCTGTCAAACTGGCTTTTGTTATTACTGTATCACACACACACACACACATCTTTGTCTGCCAGTTTTGTTGACTTTAGCAGGGAACGGCTCAAAAGTGCTGCGTCAAAGAGTCCTCCGGCATTCCCAGCAGGCCGCAGCACTCCTCCAACAGTAATACCCTCAGCTTTGAGAGTAAACACAGCTCCCTCTATTTAGCTTTTTCCAAATCTACTTCAGTTGCCATATACCTACTGTTTAGAGGTTTCAGCAAAGCACTAATGTGATGACTTGATGCTATGATTTATGGTGTGGCCCACTTTGTGTCATGGGACTATGCAAAATATTTGAGCTTTGTTCCAAATATTCAACTCGTAATCGTAGAGGGGATTATTTGATATGGGGCCATTAATGATAATACAGTGACCCCTTTAAATGATTAGACACTCATAGGTTTTAGGCTAAGGTTACTCATAGGTTGCATTTGGTCTAAAAAAAAAAAACAGAAAGAAAAGAGACTCTAACTGAAAAAATGACTGTTTGTTATTGTCCTCTTGCATTATTGACAAACTATTTTTTTGTTTGACACTGTAAAGCTGCTTTGACAATCTGTATTGTATAAAGCACTATATATATATATATATATATATAAATATATATATATATATATATATAAATAAAGGTGACTTGACTTAACAACAGGGAGAGCTCGCTAAATTATACATCAGTCTATGAGAGAAAGGATGGAGTCTTGAAGTCAGAGAAGAGGCGCTGAAAAATAAGGAGCAAGTGAATACAAGGGGGAGGGGGCGGCAGAGGAAGCCATGTTTTTTTTTCACAGCTCTTTGTAAGCGATGCCTGTAGAATACACTGAGTGCACAGGGAATTGGGCAGCCTGAAAGTGTGGTTTTCATTTTGTCCATGTGGTGTTAGAGATCCAGGTTAACACAATAATGAAATCCAGCTTAGGTTCCCCTGCACCGAGCCAGGAGCCAGACACACTGGGAACAGCTCTTTTAAAAGCCTTTAATAGAATCACTTTTATTTATAGAATAGCACAGAGCAATCTTTCATTTAGCACATAAAGAACGCTTAGTTATTCCAGATGAAGAAGACAAATTCTTGGCTGCATTTGCTTGAAAAATATGAGTTCCTCATTGCGAATGTTATGATTAGACGAAAAACACATTACAAGGTAATTAATAAAATATTTTAAACTAAAATACAGTTATTTTAAAGCAGTAAAGCGTAAAACATTATTTTTAGTAAAACATTGTCTGGGCCAACCAGGAAAAGTAAAATTCACCCAAGAAGTATTTGGACACTTGAGCGTCACAAAATGTTTAAAAGACATTGGATTAGAAAGTGTTAAAACAAATGGAATTGATTTATTTAGCTTTCTTTTTGTACTTTCTGCTGGCAAACATTATGTAAGTAGACAGTTAATGTGATGAACTACACCTGTGGTTACTCTGCTGGGACACCTGTGTGAACTTGAGGGGAACTGACTTCATATATTCACTAATAGAGACCAGTTGGTTTAAAGTAATAGAACAAATGGCTAAATAATTAAAGTCAGCTCTGAGAAAAGGACTAGCATCATTTGTTTGCAGATAACACTTGATTTGATTTACTACTGTTCAGAGTTTGGGGTCAGTAAGTTTTTTTTTTTTTAAAGAAATTAATATTTATTTTCAACAAGGGGACATTTAAATTACCATAAATAAATAATAATTCTAATAATTTTTGTCCTTCACCCTTGTGTCATTTCAAACCTGTCATATGCAAATATGCTTTTAAAATACTTTATGGTGCTTTTTTTTTTTTTGGTCTTTATTCATTGTAATTTCATAGAAAAGAGCACCTTCTTTTCTCCATTTGTGTTTCATGGAAGAAATAAAGTTGAATTTGGAAAGACATGAGGGTGAGCAAATTTAACAGAATTATCATCTCTGGGCACCAGAGGAAGAAAAGAGACCGGCAACACAGACACTTTCCTGTTTAGAGGTTTCCGGGTGTTTTTTTACAGGATCTCACTTCAGTGTTAACTCTCAGGGGCCACTGGGGCCAGACATGGGGATCTTTTTTCAGCCTGTGTCCACCCTCAGATCTTCAGATTATCACCAAGTGCACTGTGTCTGTGATCCTTGTGTCTCAAGGGCCAAAATGTTGGTTGGAGTCACTAGTAACATCATTATTTGCGGAAACCAGCAGAAAATGTAATCTTTTCAACTTTCCTGGAAAGGATGACAGCATCCCTTTGGGATTAATGATTCACCGCAAGAATGATTGTAACACAAACACACACTTTTAAGGCCTGTCTCTTACCTGGAGACTCTTTGGAGGGATCATCTGATTTACAACACACTGCCTTTTCCTTCCCATCAACCCTTTTGAACTTAGTTAGTTATAAGCTTCGGTTTCACCCAAACTCTTTCCAACACATCCAGCCTCTCCTCCTCAAGCTTTTTAACAATGTCTGAAATTTCCCCAGACAGCAGTGGTGTACCTCAGAGGATAAAGACAGGCTTGCTGCCCAGAGAGGGTGGGTGTACTGGGAGTGACGGGGGTAGCGCGTGTAACCGATCGCTGGAAGTGATTTGGACTAAAAACAACACGGCATTATGGGAGCTGGAAGGGGCAAAGCAAACAACCCATATTTTAAGAATACAGGCCAAAGTTGGGTGGGTGTTTATTTAGAGGCAGATCACACTAGTCCATTCCAGATGATGTGACATGATCCCGTTGGTCATTTGCATTGAGGAATTCATATAATTCTCATGGTTTTAGAATCGAATTTTTAATTTGTGAACACTCCTGGTGTGAATAATATAATATAATATGAAATGATCCCGTTGGTCATTTGCCTTAAGGAAGTAATATAATTTTATTCTAATTTTTAATTTGTGAACTCTCCTGGTGTTAATAATATATAATATGACATAAATATGATATAAAGTAAATGAATATAATTGATTATTATTTATTTGGTATTTCAAATTTATTTATTTATTTGGTAGGTTTGGAGCAGTTCTGTTTTAAGTTTAGGTAGCTCTGTTTTGCAGAATCAGAGCGCCATCTAGTGATGCTTATAACCTAACCCATATACAAGTCATTTCCTAATAAAATACATTGACCTGATTTATGTTAGTTATTGTGATTGACTGATGTGACTGGCTGACAGCTGGCTGTGTCTCTCTTCCTCCAGTTCTTTGACTGACGGGTACGGACAGACAGGTGTGACTCCAGCGCGTCCTGCCACGGCTTACGGCTTTCGGCCTGATGAGCCGTTTTATTACGGTTACACGACATCACGGTAGGAGAGTGTCAGGAAAGACCTAAAAGCTATGAAAACCAATTAAATGGATCTCAGAAGATGCTAGTTAGGTCTCTTTTTTCCATTTCAAATGAAAGCAGCACTACTGATTTTCTTCATCATCCATATCATTATCAGTAATATGTGGATATTTATTCCATTCCATGTGAATCTCAGTCTGAATGTGTTTTAAGCTGAATGTTCTCAATGAAGCTATGATTTGCAGCCCTCACTTTGAGCTAGATCATGTAGTTTTAACATACTTTAGCCTACTGTGTATTGCTTGTCAACACTGAAGAATCTAATGGCACCACATTGCCTTTTCTGTGCAATATAACAAAAGTAGGATTTAGTTGCATGCTGTTTCAGTGATGTAGGTGAGTTAATTTATGAGTGTTGAAAACACCATCTATTTATACATTAAAGCAAATCTGTCCATTTAATGCATGACAGTTGTTCAGATTTAGGTTTCTGGAAGCAAAATATTGTGTAGCTGTAGCTGCTACTCGTGTTTATATTATAGGATTTCCTTCAGTTTTGCATATGTTGCTTACATAAAGCAACTGATATAAGGGTCATTTTAATGATAGTGGTGCCCCTCTGTGGACTCGCATGTGAAATTATGTATTTTGTTCAAATACATTTCATGACAACACAACACAGTGCCCATGGGAACAATAATGTCACTTTACCGTCTTAATATCTTGATTGTGCTAAACAATGTTGCCTGTTTCTTTGCTTTTGATACCATAGTACTAATTTTACAACACATCTTGGCTTTATATGGTGCTCTGCTGACAACTTCATATGTATTTTGTAATGTAGCCTACTCAAGTGTTCTTTTGAAATAATACGTGCGTAAATAATATGTGCGTTTTCGTATTTATGAAACTCAATTTCATTGGTGCCTGGGAATTGTCTTACTGTTTTATATAAAATGCCTTTTTGTTTAATGTGGTGCAATATGAAATGCATAAATTGATGTGCAAAAGCTTTCCTTGTGTACGTTACTTTGATAGAAATCTTTTGCATATTTAGTTGGGTTTTAGCACAGCAGAAACTCCGCAAATGCTCGCCTCGTTTACTTTCACTTGATTGCAGTGAAATGCCATGCATCTCATTTATTCTCAATCATTCACTCCCATCATTCAGACATTCCTTAAAAGGGCGGTTATGCATATTTAAAGATGTATTGATGGACTGTCTTATTGTTTATGTGGATCTTGTATAGGGAGCCAAATGCCTGGAGCAGAATCTGTAGTGATTGTCTCCATGTAACACAGATCTCAGTGGTTCTGCAGTATGTCCCTGCAGTGCACATGCGGCAAATGTACTTGTACTTGTCACTCAACGTTTGTTCATAACAACAAAAGGCACCTCGCTGTAGATATGTCACAGAGCCAGATTCCATGGAAATCAAACCTGTCAGACTTGCGTTATGGCAGACTTTGACACAGCTTGGCATTTTGGGGAAATGTACAAGATCCTTATTGTTGAAACTTTCTTCGTGTTGTGATTGTATCATCTGAAGGTTGAAAACTGCCTTGCCGAAATTGTAACAATGGCATGTTTCTTCCTGAAGGATTCCTCATAAAGATTCACAAAGGACACTCATTTCCAAACTCAATATTTATGCTACACTGTAAAAAAAAATCCGTAAAATTTACGGTAAAAAAAACGGCAGCTGTGGTTGCCGGAATTTTACCGTAAAAAATACGGTAGCAACGTTTTAGGTTTTACGGTTTTAACTTAAATTTACAGTTAAATACCGTCATTTCATTAACTGATATAATGTTAATATACCAACCTATTGAAGTATTGAAATCTGTTTTGTACCTTTGTAATACACAGATAACCACCAAATGCAGGTGGTGATGAGAAAGTCACATGATGAACCAAAGCCCATCACAAGCAGCTTTTAAATAATAACATATATAGAAGGTGCACATTGTCATTCACACAAACACCAAACACCATCATGGTAATACACATGAAACTGAAATAATGCAATAAACATTCCTTTAACAACATTAGGTGTAACACACAACCCTAATATACAAAACTGATAAGAAAAAACTAAGAA